GTATCTGAATAGACGTTTTCATAAATAATTTAATGATCGGCATACAATTAAAATTTATAATTGTCCCAATAGTCGATTCTAATACTGTTATAGAATTATAATAATTGCTATTCTTTTCCCTATATTACCTCCAAAAGTTGAATGAAATTGTTATTTAATAATGAGGCTTGAGTTCAAATGTTTAATAAATTACTAAATCATATTCTTAAGAAGAACAATAATTTACTTTTAAAATTTTTTAGGTGCTTTAATAAGCAACTTCAACTATGCATATATTTGCATGCTATTTAACATCGAGATCTATAATATTTCTAATATTTTACCTATTAATGGACTGCTCTCAAAGAAATTTTTATAAACAACCAAAGTTGACTATGATTAACTCAAAAGCATTAATAAATAAAGAAGCAGATGTTAGAATTTGATATTTAATGCTTGGTTATTCAAATCATAATTTGAAATCTAATCAATCATTTATTTTATAAACATGTAGAATTTGTTAATTATTTTTTAATGAACTATTTTCTAATTAGTTGTAATTATTAAATCTCAAAAATAAATGAATGATAAAAATCAAATAAGCCTATATTAAATAAATAAAAAAATATTAAATTCTTTGGATCAGGAAATAACAATTGAATTAATAATCTTAGAGATCATTAATACTTAACATCGGGATTGAAAAAAAACATCTAAAAGAGAATATTCATTGTTTTTGGTTGCGAAAAGTTGAATATTGAAAATATTTTTATATAAAATTGAAAACATTTAATTATTCAAATATTTTAAGATTAAACCTATGAAAATAAATGAAATTCTTTACAAAACAAAAATTTATACATCATAAAAGGATACCTGATATTCAATAATAAAAAAGGATTTTTTAATCTAACTTTGTAATATATACATGAATAAATGATTTATTTTAATAATATTTTATACAAGCTAATCATCCAAAATTAGATGATGTGATTACTAAATTCAAGTATAATTCAATAAATAATAAATTTGATAAGCTATTCTTTACTCATCCTTTATGATAAGCAAGAAACTGTAAATCATTGCTAGATAAGAAGTGATTTTGCTAGAAGATTTAATTCAGAAAGAAGTTAAAAAGTTTTCCTAATATGAAGATTTTCATTTATATTCCTATTATAACTTAGTTATTATAATTAGTATCAGTATTAATTTAATTGGTTTATAAATATTTGTGCAAATTCTGAGCCATTCATATACATAAATCTTTTGCAATAACCAAAGAGCAATATAAGCCAATCTTATATATTATTGTTTTAATTAACATATATTTAATCCAAAATTAATCATCGTTTAATTTATTTATTAACATTTAATTGATATTTTTTTTCAATTTAATACAAAATTACTCACTACATGTAATATATAATGAATAAAATATATAATTAGAAATATCTTATTATAATTAAATATATCAATGTCAACTGAAATAGAAAAGAAAATTTGTTCAAAACATAACTTAGAAATTTAAACAATAGATCTCAAAGAATCAACTGCGGAAGAGAATAAATATCTTTGTATCAAATGCTTAATTGAGAAGATAGATATTTAAAATATTGCTTTAGTTGAAGAGACAAAAATAATGATAAAATAAATGAAGAGTGAATAGTTGAATCATAAAATCAAAGAGAATCAAAAAAGAATAGAGAATTTTACATAAATTCAATCATAATTAAAAGAATTGAAATTGTCAATCAATAACATTATTGATAAAGTCTAAAGTAACATCGATTAGAATTTGAATTTATTTGAGAAGGAGCTTGAAGAATCGGAATCAAAAACTCTAATTTCTTCGTTTGAAGATGATGTAAAAGTCTTATCAAAGAATTACAAAGGATCATTTAGTTTTGAAATTCCTAAAGAATCATATAAGTATATTAATGATAATTCCTATATTGATTCAATTTAATAATAGTTGGAATCCATAACTAAAAGTTCAATGTTTATATAAATTAATTAAACATTGCAAAAGTCTAAATTTGAAGATTAAATTTAAGAACTACAGTAAGTTTAACTACTTACCAAGAAAGAAGATGATCCATAAGTATTAATAATTTATAAATAAAATAGAAAACACCAAGTTTAAAGATTCAATGCAATAAACATGGAAAAGAAATTATAATGTTGAATTTGAATCCTGAAACTACTAAGTTCTCAAGATTAGCTTGTGTAGAGTGTATTAAATCAAATGATCCTATTAAATATACAACCTTAAGTGATGCAAGTTTTAGATGGAATGAATATTTGGGATAAACAAGTGATTAGATTAATAAATTTTAGAATTAAAGAAGTTTAAGATCTTAATCAATTATTGAGATTCTTGAAAATATTAAGGAAAAGCATAATTTTACAATTTCAGAAATTATTAATAAGATAAACACTCAATCATAAATTTACTCAAATAATTTAACAAATGATTATAATGAAAATATTATTTATGAGATGAAGACAGAGTAAGTTAATGAATTAACTGAAATATTAAGCTAAAATGATATGTTCCAAGCTTTGACTGAAAGATTATCAATTATTTAGAAGGAAGATATTAATTAACAATAAAGCATAACTGCAAATTTAGGGAAATTGTTATTAAGTGATTTATAATAAACTGAAAAGATTAATTAGATCTTTTATGAAAAGCATTTCGATATAAAAGAAAATATGGAAATGAAAAAGGATTTATTAAAAGAGGAAAGTAACCTTTAACATCAAAATTCAATAATCTAATTTAATTTATAACTGCAAAATTTTTAAATATATTAAGATATCTTGCATGAAGCATTTAATTAATATGAGTTAGTTATCCAAGCAATAAATAATATATCATAGGAATTCAAAAAAGTGCAAGTATAGAAAGTATATAAAAATTAATACTTATTAGTTTAATGAATAATTACCAAACTTTGATAAAGAATTATCTCTAATAAAAAAAATAACTAAGTTTGATTAATTGGAGATTTAATTTAATTAATAAAAGGAAAAACTATAAAATGAACTTCATGAATGTCAAAAAATAAATTTGGCTAATCAATAAGTAATAAATGACTTTAAGAAACATGATACTGAATTAGTTTTGTAGATTAAAGATTTGAGTAATCAAAATACTTAATTATCCAGATAATAGGAGTAGTAAAGTAACTATTAAATTATATATCATTTCTCATAGAAGCTGAATATGAAGTTAAACTAAAGCATAAGCAGGAAGAGTTGGAAACAATCTTACAGTCTAACTGTAGAAATGAGGAAATGGTTAAATAGTTATAACTAGATAAGGTATAACTTAACATTTTTTTGAAGTAGGTGTGGTAATTCTCATAATCACTGACATTCTCAACAACCTATAAGCATAGTAATTGTTCAGTAACTTAAAATGGAAAAATGGTTGAGAATATTTCTGGTAGTTATAATTGTTGCATGTGTGATTAAATGATTCCTAAAAATAGAGTGATCTAATTTGCTATAAAATTTATTGAATTAAATGACTTATTGATTGGAATTGGTTTTAGAGATATTGCTTAGAGTAAAGCTTATCATATGAGTTGTTATATTGGTGGAGGGTATGTAATATGATATTAATAGTTCAATATAGAACATATAATATAGATAATAGGGGTTTTTGTTGGAATCATGATTAATAAGATAAATGTAGTAAATAGATAGCATTTTCATTCTAAAAGAATGATATAATAATTGTTGAAGTAGATATCCAAAAACAATATGTAAAATGGATAAATTCATCCACAAATCAAACATTCGTATGAATTTATTTCATATTAGTCTCTTACAATTGATACCTCCAAAGATCTATACCCATGTGTACATTTTGGAGGCAAAAACAAACTCGAAATATTAAATTAAGTTTTCAAATGATAGTATTTAGAAATTACATTTTAATAATTATCTTATATTGATCCAAATTTCTGCATTTATTTGTACAAATCAATTGTAAACTGAATTGCATTCCTTAAAATACTTATGTTGTTTCCTCTATTCTAAAATTTTCAGATGGATATATATAGAGTTTGATTTGTTATAACATATCCATATAAAAATTTAATTTATTCTCATTGGCCATTTAATTCTAGTGAATGATAAGATTTATACAAAATGAAACTAGTTAGGGTAACATCCTTAAATATTAATATCCAAAAATCCTTCTTTTGAATTTTTTAGGTATATAAATACTTAAAATAAAGTTTATATTATGAATTAATTACTCATTTTAAACTGAAGGAGCATAGTGACACTACAATGGAATCAAAAAATTTATATAATTTTACTCTATTATCTTTTAATTATATATTGTTATAACATAATAATAGGATTTCATTTAATTTACAAAAACAACCACAATAGGAATATAATTAAAAAATAAAATAATAAATTAATCAATGATTCAATGCACAATTTTTGAAAACAAATTACAAGTAAAGGATTAATACTAATATAATAACTAAACTAAGCATAATAACAAATAATAACAATATCTTCAATATTTTCCTGATTTGATTTAAAACTCATTTACTTATTAATTCATCTAGGATACTTAAATTACAAACTGGATAATTTTTAAGCATTAAGATTGTTCTATTGTAATAGTTGCATGTTATAAGAAAATCAAAGTATTTCAATTGAAAAAGAAGTATTGAAAAAAACATAAGTACTAAGTGAACATTGGGATATTTTGTATATTTTATAGTTTATAAAGAAATCTAAAGAATTTATGTTTGGAAGTTATGACAAGTAAATTATAATATAGTTTTTGAATGAAAAAATAAATAGTAATTATTTTTTACTCTATTTCAAAACTTGAGAAACTATAAATTATTTATTAGATATATTATTAGTTAATGCAAAGTATCTTTAAGGATATAAGTATTAGTATATTGTCTTTATATGAAAAAAGACTTCAAATAATTTAAGGACAGGTTGGTGATTAATTTAGCTAAAAATAAGAAAGCTATCTACTATGATCTAGTAACACTAAAGAGGCTAGCTACATACTTGATTGAGAACAATTCAATTTGGAATACTCTATTTAGTATGAGATTTCCTCACTAAATAAAATACGCTCTAGATCCTTCTTTGGGGTCACCAATTATTATAATGAGTCACTTTATAAAACTGATTGACTTTTTTGTATCTAGATTCAAAGGTATATGAATAAGGAAGCTCAATCATTCTAAATTTAACCTTATTTTAAACGAGGTTGCTCCTTATACTTTATTAAATAATATTGAATTAAAATATCAAGTACAAGAAGGAATGGAGAAAGGAAAAGTAGAAATCTTCTTAGATTTATCTAATGCCTATATAATATAGTAAATAGAATTCTTAAATATTACTGTTAATGTACTTTTAATATTCCAAGTTCTATTTAAAAAAAGTTGATCAACACTCAACTCCAACTAAATAAGTCTATTGGAGTTTTTTAATCAAATAGTATTCATAAAATTATTAACTATAAACCACATTGATAATTATTTAAACATGTATTTAGTATTGATTTTTAGTGTTACTTATTATTTCAATCTATCATTATTTGAATGAATTTCATAATTTTTTCTTCCAATTATTGATTTAAACAATATAATTTAGATTCCAAATTATAATCCCTCTTATGTAGTTTTAGATAATACCATTCTAATTATTAAAAATTTATTATCCTTATTGATGATTATTGTTATTAAGATTGTTTTAGAGATATATATAAAAAAAAATCGTTTTTATTAATATTAATAAAATGAATATCATTTTAGCAGATTAAGAGAAATTATCCTTTAAAATACATAAGAATGAGCATTGTGTTGCAGATGGATTTAAACATAAAAGGAAAAAGGATGTTAACTTGTTATATATTAAGTGTTTAATAGAGTAATAATTAAATTAAAAAATAACTTTAATTGATGACACTAAGAGACTTATAAATCAAATTAAGAAGCAAAAGTTGGAAAATTAATCAAAAGAGAATTGAGAATCATTTAACAATATTGTATCATAATAAAAGAATTTAAATTCGAGTTAATCCTTTAGAATATTTTTCAAAATTAGATAAATTTATATTAATATTAATGAATAAGTTGTAACAGTGGGATACTACATTTGATAAAATAACTAGTTTTGTCCAATAGAGATTATTTTACATATCAAAAGATATCGAATAATCAAAATATGAAGGGAAAACCAATTACCTAGAAGATTTAACAGAATTATCAGAACATTATTCTGAAGATATAGTTAAAGATAGTAAGAAATTAGAAGATGATAATAAAATTATTGAGGAGATATAAAAATAATTTGAAACACTTTTTAGCAATCTTTAATATTTATAATTGAATTAAACTATGAAAAATGCAAAATCTCAGATAAATGAGGGAACTCAAAGTCAAATTGTGATTTAACCGATAAAAAAAATAATATATACCATTTTTTCTTATAGAAAACCCCATGTTTAAATATATTATGTAAAACACATAAAAACGAGATAATTATGTTTGAAATAGAATCAAATAAAGAAATTATATAAAGATTTATGTGTATTGATTGTATGAAAGATAATCCAAAAAAATACAAAAGTATTGACGATCTAAATGAAGAATGGATTACATTTAATTAAGAGTAGGATAAAATATTATAAAAATTGAAAAATAAAATTAGACTAATCTTCAAAATTATAAATTTAAATTACAGATATGAGGAAAAATTTTAATTAGCAACTTAATGATTTAGAGGATATTATTGCAAAAGAGTAAATAGAATCAAACAACTCAACTAATGAAATTATTTTTATAAAATTCTATATAGCAAGATTGTTTTATTGAATATTTCTAAAATATGGTTGTTTTTTATAAAGAATATATGCAAAAATTGGAACCATTCAGAATAAATTATTGAGTTTACATTAATAACAAGAGGATGTATATTAATAATATAAGTTAGAATGATACTGTTAAATTCTTTGATAAGCATATCTAAAAGTTAAAAGATAGTTCTATTCATATTGAGAGGTTTTGTGAGTTAGAAAAATATTAAGAGGAAATTAAAGCAGAAAGAGAAATAAATGAATTATAAGAAGCAGAATGTTAATAGTTTATTTTTATTATAGAAAATAAGAAATTAAAAGAAATTAGGAAAAATTGACTGAAAAATAATGTAATTATGTATAGAGTTTAACTAAACAAATTAAATTAAAAATTTGATGTGTTCTTAAAAAAAATAAAGAACCTACTTGATTCAAAAAAATAATGCAGATTATTTAGAATTGGATAATTTAATTGAAAACTCTAAATTGTTTGAAACATTCCTATAAGATTAAATTTCTATTATAAAACTTGGAGTTAGTATTGATTAACAGAAAGAATAATAATTAAAGGTATGAACTTTAAATTTTATCAACACTCTTTAGATTAAACTCAATCCACATACACCTCCATTTTTTTTATTGTGGACCTTCAAGTCTATCTCCATTTACTAAGTCTTCATTTTTTCCTTGTGGACCTTCCCCTCAACTTAAAAAATCAAACTGTAAATTATTTAATGTTAAAATTAACACAATTTTGACATAAATGTCATTTAATATTTTATTTTGATGAATTTAATAATTAAGATTGATCGTAATAATATTTAGACTAAAAAGAAAACCAAAATATCTTTTCTTAAATGTTTTAATCATTGAGTTTTTCATTAAAGAGACTTTTAAATAATATTTCTCTACTAATTATTTACTAAGATCCAAATGGATATTTAATAAAATGTGTTAAAGATACTATGATTCAATAAAAGTTTATTTTTAAACAAACTTATAAGAAACTTAAGTATTTAATTTTTAATAGACTAATATACATATCATATTAATTTTGACAAAAAGTGGAATAATTTTAGATTTTTAAATATATAATATATCATTTCTATTACATTCATTAGTGATTATATCTTTTATAATACGAGTCAATCCGTGTCAGTCCTTATTCTCTCCTTTTTGTGATTCCTCTATAGTGTATGTAACTGAATGATTTTAAAGATTTTTATCATTTATACAGTAAATTTATATAAGAGAATTCCAAAAAGTTTTCTATTATTTGGATACCAACAAAAGTTGTAAAATCTGTTTTTAAGAGAAATTAGATCATGCAATATCAT